GAGGGTACTGAACCTCGCATGCGGAGCTTGCCACTGTAATGGACCCAGGTTGGGAAGCCAATCGAGTCAAGGCGAAGGTGCTGAACCTCGCATGCGGAGCTTGCCGCTATAATGGAGTCGGGCTGGGAAGCCAGACGACTCAAGGCGAGGGTACTGAACCTCGCATGATTGGGCGTAGCACCCTACAATTTATGTGTCTAGCTCGTGTGATAAGTCTGGGTTAAAGCGGAATGGTACCTGATGCTTTGCTGCATCGCTAGTCGTACTAATAAATCATGCCTCGCTGTCTTGGCTGCTTGCGGAGAGCTATGTGGCGGTGCTACTTAGGGCTTGATAGTGTAGCTATTGTCAAGTGGTGCGTAGCGAGACCGCCGCCGAGAGCTGGTCATCAGGGCCGTTGAGAACTGAGCACCGAGCTGCTAGCGATAGATGAGCAGCACGACCGCTGAAAGCTGGGCAACGAGACTAGCGGGGGCAAGTCAACATAAATGGTGAGGGCTGAGTAGCAAGACTGCCTGAAGTTGGTCAACACAGTTGCTGATAGCCGAGCAGCACGATTGTTGAGGACTATTTCGAAATGCTTCACGAGTAGTAGTACCGCATGAGTAGTAGTGTACTACTATTCTCCCTCCCCCCCCCTTTTTTTTTTTGAAAATGTTGAGTGAATTTTGGCTGCAACGCATATTTTGAAAATCGTTGTTGTTGGGTGGCGCTGAACGACTGGCTCTTGACTTTAGAGATTAGCCCATGTAAATTGTTGAGGTGGCCTAATAAAGTAGATTAGTTTGGGAGGAGCCCAAAATGAAATTGCTTAGCCCACTTGGAGGAGCCCAAATATCGAAGTGTTAACAGTCTGTTTACGTTATTAGCCCAACTCCTCATTTTTTTTACTAGGCCCATAATTATTTCTCATTCTCTTTTTCAAGCAAACTTCCATCTTTCTTGTTGCCCTTTTTTTTTCTTTTTTTTTTTAAACGTTGTTGTGAGAGTTCGAGTCGCAACGCATTGAGCGGAGCTTGCGGTGCGCGAGTATTTCAATGGCTGATTTTTTTATTTTTTTTTTTGAAAGCTCCGAGTGGATTGGACTGTAAAACATCTTCTAAAATCGAATTATGTTGGACGAAGTCATATTACTTGAGAGTGACAGGCCAATTTATTCTTGAAAATTTTATGTCATTTAACCCTTTAAGGTACCCCAAATGTTAAAGTATATGGGAAGCCCAAATCATGTGTTATTGCCCACGTATGAATGCAGCCCATTAGGGTTTATGGAGCTTTAAGCCCAAATTCTCTTTTTTTTTTTTTTGTACGTGGTATAACGTCCATGGGTATCAAGTGTGGGGTTGCTTCCTTTTGCTTTTATCTTACAGCCGCCTCCCCCTCTTGCTCTCATGATCCATCCAAAGGGTGCCACAAAGAATAAAAAAGACACCGATGATTAGCGGGTAGCCGACTATAGAGGGATATCAGAGTAGAAGGCGGCAACCGGCCGCCCTTTGGATTAGGCCGTCGTTGTCAGTGAGGCGTGAAGTGAGTCCAACAGACGGGGGCTGACTGGTGGTGCTTTAGTTCCAGCCGCCGGGGACAACCGGAGTTGGTTTGGTTTCACTTGCTGTCGGCGATTCTAGAAACCGAGGTCACCGATCGAGACCGGTGACGTGAGGTGAGGTTATGTCTGAGGTCGATGTTGCCCTGGCCTCATTTGCCGGCATTGAATCAGGAAAACCGAAAGTCGGATGGAGCTGCCCCATCCTAGATGACGGTGGTCTTGGGTCGGAGCGGCAAGTGACTATCGACGAAGCTTATGGTTTGTGGGCGGCGACAAATCGGGAAAACAGGGCCCGGCCTACGTTGCTTCGTCGGAGGTGGTGTCATTTTCTGAATTGACTCATCGTACAGTCTCTAGTTATCGGCGACGGGATTCAAAGGTTGTTGCCGGTTGATTTAATCGGAGGACATGAGTTGGTGAGTCACCAAGTGGGGCCCGTTTTGTCTTTTCTCTAGCTTTCTTAATCGTGTGGGCCATTTGTGTTTTTTGTCTTCTGATTTATGTGTATATTGTATACACTTCCCCTCCCTTTTTGTTTTATGTCGATTGAAGTGAGACACAAGCACCAGGAACCATCTTGTGATACATTTTTCTTTTTGTAAAATTTATTGTAAGAGTGAGTTGTAAAGTATATGAAGAACACACAGACTATCGAATGTGGTAAAAGTAATGGAATATATTTTGGTGCAATGAACATCACTTTCCTTCTTCCATTCTTCTTCTTCTTTTTTTTTTACACATATATATATATATATATATATATATATATATATATATATATATTTTTACACAAACTTTTGACCTCACCCTAACTGAGTTTAGGGTAAATGTAACACCAAACGGTTTTTGAAAAGTTTTATAGGGTATACAAACATTATAGCGGCATGTACAGGCAACTCAAACAAATTTGCCATAATCATTACTAAAGAATTTTGATAATATATGAATTGAAAATGGTAAAAACTTATAAGGAGTTTCTTTTCTCCACAAGCTAATATAAAAAAACACCAAAATATGAACAAATGTGTGGTAAAAACTCATAGAAAATCTCTAATCTTCCTTCCTTTTTTTCTTTTGGATAGTTTTGTAAAATATACCAGCTACACAGCTGTATGTAATATAGCTGTTACAAACAAAAATGCACAGCTAGAGAAGAATTTCCAGCTGATGTATGAACAAAAGATGGGTTAAAACTCATGGAAAACTTCTTTTCTTTTCTAACTTTCTGAAAAATCCCTCAGATGTAAACAAAAACGGATCTGATGAGTTCCATCTCTAAACTTCTGAAGGAAAGACAAAATAAACAACTTGAGAGAAGTTGTAAAAAATGCAAACTAAGGGTGCTTTCTCTCATAAGAACAACTGAAGACAAGGTAAATAACCACAAAAATTTCTCTTCTTCTCAAGTTGTTTGATAAAACACCAAAATAAAAACGAAAATAGGTTAAGAACTCATAAGAGTTTCATTCTTCATGACTGCTGAAGAACCCATCAAAATATAGACGAAAATTAGATCTTATGAAGTCTTTTAAAACATGAGTGTTGCTCAAATGATCTAAAACGAAACATATCTAGACATCTGAACAACAACCAAAGTAGATCTAATGATCTGAACAAAAAATAGGCTGATTAAAAGATTTATACGAAAAACTAAGCAGATCAATAGATCTGAACGAAAAACTCATAAAAATTTCTTTTCTCTTCATCCCACTCAAGAAACCCCCAGAATATGAACCAAAAAATGATTCTAAGAAGATTTTGCAAACTTGGGGAGTGTTTGAGTGAAATAAATCCGATAGATCCATAGATCTGAACTAAAAATGTGATGGATCTACAGATCTAAAAGATGGTGAAGCAATTTTGAACAGATCTTGGCAAAAAACAAACAGATCTGAACAAATGGTACTAGAAATTAACATATCTGAGGAAACCTGAGATGGAAACACATCAGATCTGAGGGAAAACGAGCTTGAAAGCAGCTGAGGCTTTTGCTACTTGCTCGAATCCGGGATGGCGCCAAATGATGCGACATCGACCTCCGGCGGATCTTCTGGTCTTCTGCTGCGGTGGAGATCTGACATCACAGTGCAAACCCGTTAGAGCCGCCCCAGGGACTGTGCCCCGGGAGCGGGCTCCGACGGTCAAATTAGATCAGCTAGAAGATCTGAGATGGTCCTCCATAGCTGGAGAGAACCATCTTGGTGCTAGTGGTGGTGTATGGTGGCTGACGGCGGCGGGTGGCGGCTGAGCCACCCGGCCGGAGTATAGGGCGGCGGCTGAGCCAAGGGGAAGCTCCCTCTCCATGGAGGAGATACTATTCATTATATAAGGGACGATTAGGTCAGGCCTTGGGCCAGCCCAATTCAGGCCCAACTAGCAAGGAGCTGGGCAAGGCCGCCCGGAGGCGCCGGGCGGGGCTGGCGGGCGCGCCCCAGGCAGGGCCGGCGGGCGCGCACCAGGAAGGGATGACAAGGGAGTGCCAGGCGAGGGAGCGTCTGGCCGGGCCGGCAGGAGAGTCCCCAGCAGGGCTGGCAAGGGAGTCCCCAGCAAGGCTCGCAAGGGAACGCCAGGCAGGACTGGCAGGAGCGCGCCAGGCCAGACTGGCGTGCTGGAGCAGTCTAGGCCATGCCAATGGACCATATATCATCACACTGGAAGCACAAAATGGAAGACCAATACCCCGAACATGGAACACATGCAACCTACGCCACTTTTACTTATAAAACAAATGACAAATAGTATAGCAAAAACAAAAAGGGGGGGGGGGGGGGGGGAATGTCGCCCGAACTTTTAGCCTCGGGGTTGCACCCAAGTCAAAGTGACAACACTTAAACCTTCGAGATTTTCTCGAAGCACTTTCTAATTAGTAAAGTCTTGCAAGAAAATAGGACCGATTTTACTCATGAACACATACGCATACGTACGCAGATGCAAATATAAAAAACAAAAATAAAAAGTTCGGTTGCGCGAATTCGCCAAACGGAATCACAGGCTGATCACCCACACCGTTTAGGCGAACCAAATCGCCAACATGCAACCACAAATCTCGAAAATAGATGATTCCTCAGGAGACACGTCGGTTCAGCCAAACAACAAGGCCACTAAGTTATCAAACTATACGTATTCAAAGGGTATGAAGGATCATAACCTTCCCCTAAAAATGAAAATCTAACAGACGCGGGTCCAGGGAGCCTCGAGGTGACGACCTCGGCTCACCTTAAGCGACCACAAAAGGAAGGTAGCAGGTCACCCGGATCAGGGCCGAAGTCCAGGCCTACAAAATACTCTTCGGGGAGACGCTTTCCCGAAACAAAGGCAAACATGATGACATTTCAAAAACATACAAACATTAAACACTGAAAGCATCTTGTGGTGTCAAACAAACAACAAATAACAACAACAAGCATACAAAAAACATACAGTAAAAACATCAACCCTAACAAGACTGCATTCACACGCTGCCCTCAACGCCTTCGTCTGGAACATCGTCCTCCTCCTCAGAACAGAATTGGTGGAGATCAGCAAAACCAAGCTCGCCCAGTCTAAGATAAGATGCGGAGTCCGTCCCAGCGAAATCCCTAATGGCAGCATGCATGGCGTCAGTAGATTGAGCCATGACGCCCGGTTCGGATGGCCCGGAGCCACTACCAGAGGACAACACCAGCGCCGCATGTTTTCCCTCTCCACACCGGCAGCCACAAACGCGGCCTTCATGCGGAAAATCCCGAGCGCAAACTCACTGCTCTCGACAATACGGTCCACTACGTGGACCACCCCCTTTCGAAGTACCCAATACAAATCAGTCTCGAGGTCTTTCCTCCTCGAGACCTCGGCTGCGAGCTCACTGCCTCGCAGCGCAAAACGTTCCACTAATGCCGCTTTCTCTGTAGCCAAATCTTGAACATGCTGAGATGGGCGGTCGACCTCCCCATCCAGAGTCGCCACCTGATCCTCAACAGTGGTTTTCTCCCCTGATAGCACAAGGTAGCATTCATTGAACTTACGCCGCTCCTCCTCGAGGAGCCAGACCTTCTCCGCGAGCTCTTCGCGCTCCGATTTAATGAGAGCCAACTTCGCCCGGTCAGCCCCGATGTAATGGAGACGGTCGGCAGCCGCCACCAAATAAGGAGCCACCTGAGCAGCAGCATACTGAAGATCATCCGCCATATGAGAATAAGAAAGGGCATCAAGGGCCTCCAGAGTAGCAGAAGGAAATGCATGATGGCACCATTCACTAGCAGGACCCTTTTCCGATAGAAGAGAACTGGGTGTAAGGTTCCACCCTGGGAGATACACACCGGGGGCGCCCGAAAAGGAAGGCCCCACCTTTGACGGGACGTCATTCGAAGTCGAGGGCGAGGTGGAGCGACCTTCCGCAACGATTGTTCTCCTTCGACGGTGTGAACAAATCGCCTCTGTCGCTGACAACTCATCACCATCAGCAATCTCGATAACAACAGGTGACGTAGCGCGAAAAGGTTCAATGTTGCATTTCCAGCGTAAGCGTCATCCAACAGTATCGTCACCAACATCCTCCCCAAGGGCAGAATCTGCAACAACGGACCGACGATGGGATACGACCCGAAAGCTAGGCACACCCGAACCCTTAGACGGAGAGACAACCTCAACTCTCGCCACGGCAGGAGAGGCCTCAGATTTAGGAGCATGCCCGACAGTAGCCGGAGCAAGTAGCGCCTCATCACCAGGGGAACTTCGTGATACTGGAGATCACCCTCAAAATTCCCCCGCAATACTTGTTAGAGAGATAAAAGCTTCTCGTCACCTGCAATAGCCACAATGCAAGACCCGCTTCAAAATGAAAAATAAAGAAAAAAGAGGTAGAAACATGACGACAAAGAAAGAGGGGGGGGGGGGGGAGTAAGGTAACACTTACCACCGTTGCTCACAAAAAACTGATGTAGCTTCCCACGCGAACGCCAAGCAACGCTCATCCCGGTTGCCACCAATATGCAGTCCGTCCAGTCCTCGCCGTCAAAATAAATTCCCCTCAGTGTGCGGGCCACAGACAAACCGACACCCGACAGATGGGGCGCCCGGTCCGACGCCATGGTCACACGAGGATAGCCTGCACCAACCAAATCACTGTTGACCCACAGCCATCGATCTGCCAGTTTTTCCATGGTGCTTTCTGGTTAACTATAAAGGAATGTGTGTTGCGGCGTTGAGAAAAAGTGTGAACGCCTGAATGAGTCAACAAAATAAAGAAATACTGGAACGCTTGAAAATAATGAACTATACCCAATGCTCGACACCCCAACTCGAACCCAACTATCTTGTTCACGGCGTTCGGGGTCAGATCGTGAACAGAAAAACCATACTCCTGCATGACTTCATCGAAGAAGTCAGAAACAGGAAGACGAAAACCAGCCACGAAAATCGCCATTGGAATACCGACCTTCCCGGCCGGCGGTTGATAAATATTAGATCCCTCCAACGGGAACTGGACCCCATGCTCGGGCATAAACCCAAACTGGAACTGAAGAGACTCGAACTCCTCGGGTGTAGGGACAATTCCAGATAGGATGGAAGCCATCGAAAACCAGAAAGGAAAAATGTAGGAGAAAAGAGAAACAACGAAGCAGGTTGAGACAACAGATTATGGAGAGAAGAAGCATGTAACCGTTCCTAGAAACAGGAGACCTTTATAAACATTTCAAAAAGAAGAAAAGAGAGAGAAAACTAAAACGACACTTTTTAGACAAACGACTCTATTATGATGGAAACACCTCATGAATCGCTCCCATCTGACGCGTGTCAGACCTAAGCTAGAACTACTCAGCTACCCTAAGCAAATGTTGATATCTACTAGCCTGGGGGACTTGTTGGCGTACCCCACCAGTAATTCGTCAAATACAACGGAGCCGTTAGTACAACAAACGAACCCAAGCGATGAACAACTAACGCCGGGTCCTCGCGCTCCCGTGCTTATTCCTTAGCGCCCAAGCATCAAGGACATAGTCGAGAAAAAACAGTACCAACCCGCAGGGCGACAAGTCTCTAGAGCACTACACCTGGCAAACCTACGCCAATGGCAGGCAACCGCTTGCGGAACACGGTTCACTAATCAGAGTTCACCTGGATCTGACAGAACCTGAAAAAGCAGAAAGTATTGTCGGGGATCTGTCCCCCCTTTGCCACAGGTATAAAAGGCACCCTTCTCCTCCAAGAGAAGGGGTCAATATCCTAAACCCTTCAACATTCTCTTTACGCTTTTAACCCACTCTCTCTCAGACTCTCACTGACTAGATCGTCGAAGCCTCGTTCCGGGACAACCTCCCGGATGACAACTGACGGTCTTATCTTCTTTGTTGTGATCCACAGGCTCTTCATTTCCACCCTCAGAAAGACGGAGTTGAGCTGGTGACATATCACAACAATTAAAAAAACTAGAAAATTTAAACCTATTTATTACCATAATATTTTTTGAGATCGGCTTTCATTGCCAAAGCAATTTCAAGCTCCTCCCCGGTCATATTCGATGTGTCCATCGTTAGTATTTTGTAGTTGCTATCCCTTTGTTTTCGAAGCTCTCTTTCAGAAGCAAGTTGCAAAATCTTGTGCATTCTATCTTTTATACCCTTCATATGAAGGTCTTGGGGTTGTGGTATTTCTAGTGAGTGTTTTTTTCGTTGGTAAGCTTTTTGGAAGAAGACATTTTGAGAGGATTTGAGAAAAAGATGGTAAAAGGTTAAGAAATTGAAATGTGGTTTTTGTAAAAAATGATATGTATATATATGGTTAGTTTAAAAAAATCGAAAAAGGACCATTGAAACGATCAAAAGAGCTTGGACCAATCAAATCGCATGGCCAAAAGGTGCCACACTATGGCCTGAACCACACTCTGACCAGACCCGAGAGGCGGTGTTCATGTGTTACGGTGACGAAGTTGTGGATGCGAACCGCACCACTCCCCCAAGCCTTATCGATGATGGTGAGGATAAGTGGTGGTGGCAGTCTAAATTATAACATCTAAATTATCAAACATACCAAAAAAATACCAGAACATCAATAAAGATAAGAACACAATACGTGAATGGTCAATTAGGTTTTGGTTTTTTCCCTAACGTAGTCCCTATTATACTTTTTCCCCTCAAATAGTAGCTACAGGCGATAAGTTGCACGCGTTTGGTCCCCGAGTTGGATGCTCGTCCATTCCAACGTTAAGTTGCCCCCATGTGGCTTGCACATGAGGGTATTTATGTCATTTTACCCCAAAGGACATTTTCTGAACATTTAACTTAATAGCTTTAACCATTAAGGTGGCGGGGTTTAGTTTCAGACATTGACTTTGACACTCTATCTCTTTCCCAAAGAAAATGTGACAACCAGAAAATTTTTGCCTTGTAAGTTCAGCCATTCAACTTAACTGAGTGTCAGACTCGTTCCTGCTATCAGTTAGCCTTGTTTAGAGTCTGTTTAAGTGTTCAAAGCTCAGTACATTCAAGCATTGAGTATAGGATTGGGTCGCGTAAGTTCCTAGCCTTGAAATCAATCCCTACACTCCATTTGAGGGAGTGTACGGCCGTACACATGAGTGTACGGCCGTACACACATGTGTGTGCGACCGTACACTCATGTTGGCCGTACACCCCCTCCATATGAGTGATATCCTTCCATTCTTAAGCCATTTCCTCAGTTTCCAAGTCAAGAACATCGGTTTCTCTCTTAACTATCATCGAGCCTTTCACCCGATCTTCAAGAATGTAAGTCTCTCTTCCGTTTTGATTTGTTGTTATTCTTCTTAACCTAGTAAGACCCTTTGATTTCATCCATTTGAAATCATCTTTTGACTAGATCTTCAAATCTCACCAAGAACACCAAGAACACACACTTGTTCTTGGTGATTGTGAACCTTCTTGAGCCTCCAGATCGTAAGTACTCCTTTCCCTATGCTTAGTACTTGATAGGAACACTAGATTAACACCCTAAAAACGTCCAGAACTCAAGAACATAAGGAGTGTATGGCCGTACACCCATGTGTGGCCGTACACCCCTCAAAACACCCCTAAAGGGCCTCCAAAATGCAATTCTAGCTTCAACACTTGATGAGCAATTGTCCCACAAGCTTCCCTATCATTAAAAGACACTTTTGTGCACTTGTTACCATGAGTGTACGGCCGTACACTCTATGGCCGTACACCCATGGCCGCACACTCCATTTAGTGGTCGTACACTCCCCTTAGTTGAATCACATGTAATTCTAACATTTGGTCCAAGTGTTTCCTAGTCCCTAAAGGTGTTTCCTTGCATATGGTTGCTTCTAAACACTAAATTCATGCCAATACATGCCATATATGTCATTTAGGACTCGTTTGTGTCTCGGGACTTCACTCGTGAAACTTTTCATCCTTACGCGCACATTCGTTTGAATCACCCACATAAGGTGAGTTCATACCCCTATAATCAATCTTTTAAACTGTTTTAAATGCTTTTAAGGGGGGGGAATACAAGTTGAACACAATGATAATTGTGTAAATGTTTGTTATAAACATCTTTCAAAAGATTGCTTATGTCTTTTATAAGTTATCAAAACATTTCAAAAACTCTTTTTAAAGTTATGTTACTTTATAGTTTAACAAAACTCCGTTTTTAAAGTACTATCATAACTTAGTAGATAAATGAGTCTTTTCAGTAACAGTTCAAGTAAAATACTAGTAAACTATAATAGGTATAGTTTAGGGTTTCAGTTCATACTAGATACTAGAACATACTATAATGAGAAACAGGGAGGTAGATACAATACACGATAACAGAAGGAACATACTAAGATACGATAACAAAGAGAACATACTAAGATACTATAACATACTATAATGAGAAACAGGGAGGTAGATACAATACACGATAATAGAAGGAACATACTAAGATACGATAACAAAGAGAACATACTAAGATACTATAACAGAACGAACATACTAAGATGCTGTAGCATAGGAACACTACAGGATCTAATTATACCAATGAATCACTAACTCATTGTTCTAAACAAAAGGTGATAGTAAAATTGGGTATACATGATCATATAACTTTAATGTGAATTTACACGGCCTAGCAATTTGTTTGCGGAAGTCGCGTTTGGTCCCCATAATCTCTTGCAGGGAGAGCGTATAGTATGGGTACTATCCATCACATTATGACCTTAATAAAACAAACATGTTTTAAAGGTAATCAGTACGTCAGGCTGTCAATTTAAAAGACAACTGTGTACTTATATTTTCCCATTACTTTCATTTTGTGACAGTTCCACTTGAAAGTTAATGCAAACTATTTTCGAGTCAAGATAGTGTTGGATAAGGTGTCTAAGTCCATAACTTATTTGGTATATACTTGACCCGACCCGGCATGGTCCATTTGGGTTGCACTTCACCCGAACTAGTTATGGATAATTTTATGAGAATTGTATACTTACGATTTATTAATATATTATAAGTTATAATATATTAATATATAGTCATGTTATTTAATTAGTTTTAATCTTGAATTAATTATGAATTGATTTAGTGATTAAAAG